TCAACTGAGTCTTATGATGTACTGGACCAATACTTTAATGTAATAATGTTAGGATTCAGTGATGGGGGCTACCAAACTGCCCTGGTGGGCGGGAGGGAAGGAGGTGCCACCTGCCAACACCAGAGGGAAGCTTTGAGGAGTGGGGACTTGGGCTAGCCCTGGAGAAATGAGCAGGGTTTGGAGAGGAAGGAGTAGACAAGGAGGGAAATAATGACCCAGGGCCAGAGAGGAACAGCCAGGAGACCAGCCTGGAAGGCGCTGGTGCTGCCTGTGCAGAAGCTTGCACAACTTTAGGGAGAAAGTGGAGTAGCCAGCCTGAAGTAGGGCTTTCCCATCTGGGCCAAGAGTTCTGACTTTATCTCAGGAAAGTGAGATGCTAGTGAGGGTCTCTGCNCATCTGGGCCAAGAGTTCTGACTTTATCTCAGGAAAGTGAGATGCTAGTGAGGGTCTCTGCGTACAGGAGTGAAGAGATCAGATCAATGTTTTAGGGGGAGGCTTACACCGAAACGGATGTTAGAGAGGATTTGCAAAGGCTTCCCCTTTGGAGGTGGGGAGAGCCAATACACCCAATCCAGGCATGAGGCGGGGCAGGGCGGGAAGACAGACAGTAGATGGAGCGGTGAGAAGGATGGAAAGGAAAGGGCAGTTCCAGAAAGCCTGGGACAGAATCGAGAGGGCTTGGTAACCGGTGAGACATTAGTGAAACAAGAGGTTTAAAACTCTGGTAAAAATAAACACCTTCAAAAGGGATGGATTTTTATTATTCACTCAAGTCATGTCACATCACAGATCTGTGGAGGCAGAAAAACATAAAGTATTTTTATCTTTTTAATTATTAAAGATCACAGACACAGAAAGGAACTTTTCTTAATGACTCAAACAAAAAACAAACTTGGTCCAGACACAATGAAATAGTTCAAAGTGGATCTCAACTAGAGTAAAGGAAAAAAATAAAGTAACCTAATCTAGGCTGCATGATTTTCCTCTTGTGGACTGGTGGGCTGTGCTTTCACCCTGAGGTTTATAATCTGCTAATTACAGGATATAAACCTCACACTCCAGCTGTGCCCAGGTGCTCTCCCTGGACTGTTCTGCAATGTGATGCTTCCAAGTCTCCCAAGATCTACCAGAAAGGGACGGAGGTGTCCCCATAGCCAGAGGAAACCTTTACAAGTCAACAAGGGGCTTAGAGAAACATATCACACCACCTTTTCTACCCCTCAGAAATGTGTAGATAATAAACTTCACGAATTAAGTAACTGGCAGGGCAACCTCTTGATCACTTACTCCCAAACTTTTAGCTACTACCCATCTTCCAAAAAAATCACTAAATTTATCATCAAAAAGTGAACTGATTTAGCCCCAAAATCTGAGGCAGCTGCTGATTGCACAAGACGTGTGGAAGGATACCTCCTCCTACAGGAGAGTCTCGTCTCCTTCTTCCACTATTTCCCAGCTGAACGGTGAGTAGTGGCAAGGAGCCACTCTCCTGGAGATACAACCACAGGTCTTTTGCCATCCATTTTTAATTAGATGGACATTAAATAGAGCCATTTAGGTCCTGGAAATTTTATTTAATTCTGAAGCAGGTCATCCTCAAGTTGTTCCACCTTGTGACCAACGAGACATTTTCAAGAACACTGACTAGGATCAGGGGAGTAGACTATGACTATAACGTATCTTCTATGTGAGGCCTGTCTGGGGATCAATACCCACGATGCAGACTTCCTCCTACCACAGTGATTGATAAACTGAACCAGTGGCAAAAGGAAAGAATGAAAAGAAAAGCAAAATCGCCACTGTACCCGTTTTACTGATTTTATGAGGGTACTTCAAAAAGTTCATGGAAAGATTCGATTATCTTTTAATTCTATTTTTCCACAAACTTTTGTAGCACCTTCATATTTCATGGGGCTCAGATGTGATTTTTGCTACTTTAAACGGGGCAAATCTTCCTTGGAGACCACAGAGACAACTAAGAACTGATAAGAAATGCACAAATAAATACAAAGATGGAAGTCTCTTCAGCTCCTTAGCTAGAGAGGAGAGACAACTTGCAAACATTACACACCATCCAACCAATAACAAATCACCCAGAGTATAGTACTGGCCAGCTCAGTTCAACAATGTAGGGCCTACCACACACAGCAGAGAAATGTCCTTTGGAACCTGTCCTGGCCTCTGCATGTCACTGAAAAGTTCTCACTTTCCTTACGCAGGACCAGGGCAAAAGACAGCACAGACTAACAGAAATCTCAGAACCAGATTGTGACCCTCGTCTAACCTTACAATGGGATCTTAGAGAATTTATTTCAGACAAATGCATCTTACTCCTTCTGCCATCATCTTCCCTTCCCTCCCAATTTCTTCCCTACTTTTGGTCATCTCAAATGTTCTGGGGAAAAAGAGTAAAAGCATGTGTGTGCATATGTGCATGCTGCATGTGTGGATCAACAGAGAAAGACTGTGGCAATGGAGAGCGCGCGTTGGTCTGAGCTGCACCCCATCAGAGGGTTGAGCCCCAC